AAATAATTAGGTGGTCATATGCTCACGAGCACTATTGTTTATAATTTTGCTGAAATTAAAATGTTCATATTTGTGCGTCATGTGACTCCAAATTTACTCCAAATATTAAAAAAGTCACAAAAGCAAATTTAATTGGCTTTATTTTATATTTTTACTTCTTCAGGTCTAATTCAGTTGACAGTGTGCTCCCTGCAGTTTTCAGACTGAACGCTGCAGAAACGGATCAGAACCGAACCCTCCTGTGGGCTGCTGAAACGCGCAGACGCACCTCGGTCCGGTCACTTCCAGCTCCGCGCTCTGAAGCTGGACTTCAGCTCACCGGACCAGCGACACGGTCCTGTTGAAACAAAATATAGAGAGCAAGAGCGCGCGAATACGTTTTTTTTTTTTTCTTCCCCACTCTCGTGGAGGCGTGGATCTTCTGTCTCACTTTTGACATTCTCGTGGCAGTGGTAGATTCTCCTCGAGGCAGATCAGGCAGAAACCCGAGGAGAAACACTGGAAGCTCCTTCTGTGTGCGCCACATCTCTGCTGCGAGAACTTTGGAGGGGAAGGCGGGGGGGCTTGGACACAAATGTGTGTGGAAGGAAGGGGGGGATAGCGGAGGGGAGAGATAGAGTGGTGCTTCTTGGAATGAGTCAGAGCGCCGGGGAGCTGTTTGCAGGAGCCGCGGGAATAACTCGGAGGGAATCGCCACGCCGGAGCGCCGGTGGCGGAATGTGAGAAACTCTTTTTTTTCTCTCTCCCACTTCCAGCAGCGCGTGTTGCTCCGCTCCGTGCGCACACTTCTCCCGCTGGAAAGCCCAGGAGGAAAGGAAGGGTGGAGGGGGGGGGGCTCGACCCCTCGCCTATGGATGACTGCGGCCCCCTCTCTCCAAAGGCGAACGCTTTCAGTATCGCCTCTCTGATTGCGGCCGCGGAGCGAGCAGGAAGCGCAGCGTTTGACAAACACGGCACCGGCCCGGACAAGGCAGCCCTGCGCAGCCACAGCTCCTTTACAATGCACTACAGCACTGTCACCCGGGAAATGGAAGGTAATTCTGTTTGTTCATGCCCGTAGAGCTGTTGTAGCATGTGGAACAAGTCACCCGAAAATGACAAAGAACAGCCCTGCGTGGCGTGCGCTCCTGTTTTYCTTTTATTGTTTTTTTTAATATACATATATATCCAACCACTTGTTGAGGATTGAATTAGAGAAGCTCGACTTTTCAAAGTGAGCCAGTGGCACCAGAAGGAGCACGAGCCTGCAGACAACAAAAGGAGGGGAAAAGGTTTCCAAATTCCTCTGATTCCACGCTCTCAAGGCGTTAAGAGTCGGCTTTAATTCGTGACTGCAGATGAAGCCAAAAGGAGGAGGGTTCAAAACGGGTAAAAAAACAGACCATAATAATCCCACACAGCTCGGAAAAGCAGGGTGTTTATCCATCACAGGTATAGCGTCACGCGCAGCCTGTTTGTTTGTTCATGCAAATCAGTGTTTACCCTGTTAAAGCCCCCCCCCCCCCTCCTCCTCTCTGCAGGCCAGATCCATTGTTAATAACAGGAGGTGTGTTTGGGAGATGGGGTGGGGGGGTGTAGGTGGGCGATCCCCTTATCCAAAAGTTAAATGGATGCCGGAAAGATCATTAGGAAAAAAAAAGAAGAAAGGGGTGGGGGGGGGCGCACTTCTGTGTCAATCAGTCTCGTCCCAAGGCGAGGAAAAGCCACATTACCTGCAGTTCCTTCTCCAAATAGAAATAAGAACCGGTTTTATCTCGAAGGGGAGGCCCTCTGCCGCAGATAAGAGACAGGAGCGCAGCGCAGCGGCGCACAAAACACACGCAGCTTCAGTGCGCACTCGGTTCCAAAGGAAGGTGAAGGAGGAGGAGGGGGGAAAGCAGCTCACACGCGCTCCGAGCTCGTTTCTGTGAGCAGCTCGGCGATTCGACGCGACTTGTGAAG